TGATAAATGAAGGAAAGACTGAAGTGGTCAAAGGCTTCATTTTGCTTAGATTCACCATCAACACTTACGGAAACAGTAGTCAAGGAACCTAATGGCATATTGCATTAGACAAATCTGCTGCACAAGACATCTTTAAAGTGTTCAAAATTAAAAAGATCAGGTTTATTGGTCAGATAAAGACTGATGGAACCCCAAAATGTGACCCTTGGTAAACCTTCATGTCTGGAACTGAACTACTCCCATGGCTCAGTTTCCAGCCACAGGTATATAGGATGACAACAACACTAGTGAGGTCTGCACACCATAGAAGGGTCAACCATTCTAGATTAAAGGGCAACGTTTACCTAAGGGCAAATTCAGAAAAGTTGGGAAAGAAGAAGGAATGGAAACAAGAAACATAAAAGGTAATCCTAGAGATGAAATGAAGTGTATGATTTGTTTAATGTAAAACCAATTATCTGCTTGGTCACCTTTTTGGTCACCTTTCAGATCTGGAATTCAACTCACCCTTGTGGCTCAACTTGTAGTAGATAGAGGGGACAACAGCACTAGTAAAGTCTACCCACCATGGAATGGTCAACCATTCAAGATCAAAAGGGCACCATTTACTCGAGGACAAAATTCAGAAGGGTTAGCAAAGAAGGTGGAATGGAAGCAAGAATCACAGGAAGGAAGTGGGATAGCTGATGTTACATGGAAGGGATTGTAATCATTGAAATGAAATGCAGTATACGATTTGTTGGAAGTAAAACTAATGATCTCCTCTGTAAACCTTCACTCAATTTAAAACACAATGTTAAAAAGAAAAAAAGCAGACTGCCGTATCTTTCTTCCATGTAGTGGTTGGTAGACCTTAAGTTAACAGCCAGGTGTTTAGCCACTGCACTACCAAGGTTCCTTTGAGAGAAGGTTGTTGTTGTTAAGTGCCATTGAGTCAGTTCCTACTCATAGTGACACTGTATAGCACAAAGATTTATAGCCTCGGAAACACTATACAGGGTCATAGGAGTTGGAACTGACTCCACAGTACAGAACAGCCACCACCATCACTATTCCAAGGAATGGGGCTGGTGGGTTTGAACTGCCGACCCTGCGGTTAGCAGTCCAGAAATAGGGCAGTGATTATTATCTCCTCTTCACAGCTGTAAAATGGGAGACTCAGCAAACATGACTGAGATATCCAAAGTCACTCAGGCCTCAAACCAATGCCACCACCTCCAATAAGCCTCACGAATGCTTAATAATGCCTTCTTAATGTTACTATTGGAGTCCTGGGGTGGCATTGTGGGTTAATGCGCTGGGCTGCAAAGTTAGTTTGAACCACAAGATTGGAGGTTCAAGCTCACCAGCCACTCCTCAGAAACCCTACACAGGGTCACTTTGGGTTGGAACTGACTTGATGGCACTTAACAACAACAAAAAATGTTATTATTAGTTTGTATATCTGGTGCCTAAACATTAGCCAATATTGGTCATGCTAGGCTGATAGTTGGGAAGAACCAATTCTTTTCTTTTTCTTGTTGCAAAAAATACACATTACACAACATTTGCCAGTTGGATGTTTTTCTGGGGTACAATTTAGAGATCACTGTTATTGTCATTAAATGCTGTCATGTTGGTTCATAGCCAACCCTATATTCAGTTTATGAGGTGTAGCTGAGGGGTTTGAACTGTTACCCCTACAGTTAGCAGTCCAGTGCTTATCCTACAGTGCCAGGATTCGGAAGTTTAGTAATATAAAAATCACTTTCTTGATGACATTGTTTATATGAGGGTGAGTCACAAATTATCTGCACCCTGGCTGTAGAATTTACTTTCATCAACTTTTAGAAAAGACACATAAATCATTTTTGACATAATCTCCTTGCTTTTCAATACATTTTGTCCATCTGTCAACAAGCTTTCATATTCCCTTATTAAAAAATGTTTTAGGCTAAGCTCTGAGCCACACATGCACTGCTGTCTTCATGTCTTCATCAGAGGTGAATCTTCATCCTTAAAGGGATGCTTTCAGGGGTCCAAACAGGTGAAAGGCCTATGGAGCAAGATCAGGACTGAAGAGAGGATGCTTTAACACTTCAAGGCTAAGTTTCTGCAGAGTGTCCACAGTGTGGGCAGAGGTGTGTGGTTGTGCATTGTCATGCAAGATCATAGCGCCCTTGGATGGCAGTCCTCTGAGTTTAATCTGAAGTCTAGGCTTCAGTTGTTCAGTGAGCATCTCACTGTAACAAGCACTGTTGATTGTTGAACCTTTTTCCTGGTAGTGTTCCAATACTGGCCCTTGAGAATCCCAGAAAACTATAAGGATCAGTTTTCCAGATGATGGTTGACTTTTGAACTTGTTCTTGGGAGACAACTGGGGATGTTTTTATTCCACACTCTGCTGTTTACTCTCAGGCTCTCCATTTTTTTTAAAGAAATTTTTACCTTCCTTTGAGTGTTAGTCCAATTTTATTTGTAGACGTCCAAACATTTCTGTTTATGAGTTGTTTCAGTACCCATCTTGCATAAACTTTTCGAAACCCCAGTCGGTCATGGATTGTTTCATAGGCAAAGACAAATGGTTTCCCACATAATCCACTGTCACTCATCTATTTGACAGAATCATTTCACGTGCACGCTCAACGTTGTCATCAGCCATGGATGTGGATGGGCGTTTTAATATAACCACAGTGCGGATAATTTTTGACTACCCCCCATATTTCCTCAGCACTACATTAAGAATAAAAATGGAATCAACATTTCTATCACATCCATAAGCAGAAGACAGGCTCAGGAGTTAACAGGAAGTCAGTGAATCTTAAGGTAAGAAGAGATGGGATGGGAGCCCATTCTGTGTTACATTCAAACCTGACAATCCTGTCATCACAGTGATCTCACACTGGGGGAAGGGAAAACTCTTCTTTAGAGTTAGATACCAACTAATAAGTGTAGAAGGAATGCTAGGGTTAGGAAACTGCCAGTTTGTAAACACATCTGTAATAACTGATTGTTGGTTGTGTGCGGTTGAGTCAATTCCAACTCATAGTGACCCTTTATAGGGTTTCTGAGGCTGTAAATCTTTATGGGAACAGAAAGCTTCATCTTTTGTCTGTGAAGCGACTGGTAGATTTGAACTACTGACCTGGTGGTTATTAGCCCAATTTATAATCCACTAAGCCATGAAGTGGACTGAAACAATTTCCTCTCACTCTGAATCTTTAAGAGAAGCATGTTAGACACGACCAAGAGTTGTACTTGTCTTAACATTTGCAACCATCTTGGATTCAGTAATTCCACTGACTCATTTCTATCAGCAACCAACCAGGCTGTATCCAACGACAAATCGCTTCTTCAAAAATGCTTAACCCAACCAGAGAGTGACTGCAGTCACTGAACTCAACACAACACACTTAGTTTCAGCATTTACAAGTTACTTTGTGTGTGCATATAAGTCTCTTTAAGACTTTAAGTTCCATTTTCTCTATATCCCCGGAAACACCAACTACAGTTACTTGGCACAAAAGAAATTTAAAAAAAAGAAAATGTTTTTCCAAAGAAATGTTGCCAGCTTATTTTGATAAATGCAATTGCAAACTTAAACTTATCTCAATATTCCTATTACATTAAATAATGAAGTCTGCCTACATTCCATCTGCATTAAATACAGCATTTAAAAACATCAGGAGACTACATACGGAATTCAAAGCTCTTATCACCTGACTGTAGTAAAATCTTATTCTAGTGAAACAGACCTTTAAAAAAAAAGGCCACATTTAAATGTCATTTAATGGGCTATTTATGGTAAAAACATTACTTCTAATTTCATATAAAGTATATTATTGTTGTTGTTGTTAAGAGCCATCAAGTCAGTTCCGACCCCTAGCAACCCTGTATAGGGTTTCTGAGGAGCAGCTGGTGAGCTTGAACTGACAACATTACAGATCAAACAGCTTTACAGTCTGGTGCATTAACGCACAGCGCCACACCAGGATCCCAAGTATATTGTTAAGTGTCGTTAAGTCAGTTCTGACACACAGCGACCCTACATAGGGTTTCTGAGGAGCAGCTGGTGGGTTTGAACCACTGACTTTGTAGTTAGCAGTCCAGTGCTTATCATACAGCACCACACCAGGAGTCCATATAAAGTGTAAAGTTTTAGTTAATTCTGTTATTGGCACGTTCTTTTCAGTTCACTGTTGTCTACCATTGTCGCAGGTGGGTTTGAACCACCAACCTTGTGGTTAGTGTTCAGTGCTTATCCTACAGCACCACACCAGGACCCATCCAGCTCAATAATCCCCTTCAACTTGCTCATCTCTCTTTTCTTCATTCCTCTTAAACATACAACTTTTAAAAAAATAAAATTAGTCTATGTTAGTTAGGCTACATATAAATATAGCTAGTCTGCAAATGATAGTTAAAAAGTCTTTTGAAACTGATGTCTATGTGAGCTGAATATCAATTATACAGAACTTTTCATCCATTAGTAGATGATGTAACTTTTTCATCAAAGGCGCTTTTATGTTATGATGTGGTGATACAAAAAAAATAGATTCATGATAGACAATTAGAAACTTGGTCCTGCCATCAAGTTGATATCAGCTCAGAGCAATCCTAGAGGATAAAGCAGAACTCAGACAGCTTCATCTTTTTTCTGCTGAGCAACTGGAGAGTTTGAACCACCAACTCTGTGGTTGGACATTAGCCCACTACATTAGCAGGGTTTCCTAATTAGAAACATAGATTCTAAAATTGGATTCTATCTATATCCCAGTAGCAGTCTTTCTGAAAGTAGGCAATTCTCATTCAAATGGAAAATGCAGTCCTTTCATAAAATAAAAGGCATACTCCAGCTGAAGCTCAATATATCTACAGAATTATCATTTTAGAATGTTCTTATTCAAAGCCACTTCTTTTAGATTAGCATTTCAGTCAATAACAATAAACATTGTTCAAATTGATCAAATTAGAGAATACTTTTACTCATTTAATAAGCCTTTAATCTTCAGTGTACGTACCAACAGTGTGGATAGGTTTCCTATAAGGTACAAGGCCAAAATTGTACTGGAAAACTCCTCTCGCATGAAACAGGGGCAAAGTAAACCCCACGATCTTTTTTAGCGTCTCCTGCAAAGTTCGGATCCATGAGCCTTCAGGGTTGCTTACTTGTTTAAATAGTTCATTTTCACCAAAAGAAAACACAGGGACCAAATAGGCACTGTAAATAACAAAGGGTAAGAGTAAGAATTTTAGATGAAAAAGATTTAATATTCCAGTCTAAAAGCTAGATGCTAAGGTGTCGATTCTGACTCAACAGTGACCCCATGTGTATCAGAGTAGAACTGTGATCCACTGGGTTTTCAACAGCTGATCTTCAGGAAATAGATCACCCACCAAGCCTTTGTTGAAGATGCCTCTGAGTGGACTCAAACTTCCAACCTTTCAGTTACGAGCCAAACATCCTAACTGTTTGTACCACCCACCCACAGATGCCAAGTTTCTGTATATTGATAACTTGATATTTCAAACAGTAAATCTTTTGGGAGGTATTTCAGTGTTGTCATTTATAGATTTCGATTCCATACAAAATTACAGTTTCAGGAAATTTAGTTTCAACTATAGTTTTGGCCATTGTTAGTCTGGCTAGAAATTTACACTGTGTATTTAAATTTTTGCATGCTTCCCCCCCCCCCCTCTTAAAAATCAACTTAATTTTAGAATACCACGGCAACAAGTGACTTTAGTATGGAAATCATAGCCCGTCCCTAAGAATGCAGACACCTACTTATAGTGGGGAATCCTGATGTAGCACTTTATGACAAGTACTTGACCACAAGGTTGGTTTGAATCACAAGGTCAGCTGTTCAGACTCACTAGCCACTCCTTAGACAGGGTCACTATGGGTCAGAACCAACTCAACTGCACTTAACAACATTTATATTCTAAGACACATTTGGGGGATGTCTATCTTTAACAAGAAGAAAACATTGCCATCGAAGCTGATTTCAATTCATAATGATCCTATGTTGTTGTTGTTGTTAAGTGCCATCGAGTTAGTTCCAACTCATAACCAACCTGTGTAGGGTTTCCAAGGAGCAGCTGGTGGTTCTGAACTGCCAACCTTGCAGTTCGTAGTCCAGTGCTTATACTACAGTGCCAGGTGATTGTAAAAGAATTTTGCCTCATCTTTCTGCTACACAGTACCTGGTGAGTTTGAACTGCTGACATTTTGGTTAGCAGTCCACTGTTTACCCCACTGCGTCTCCAGTGATAGAAAGTTTTTTAACTCCCTGTGTTCATTTAATAATTTCCCTGACCCAGGAAATGAAACAAAAAGCAACTTACCCATGGGTCAAAGCCATTTTAACAAATCCTTTTCGCTGGTGGATGAACAGAGTGAAGCTTCCAGGATGTGCGTACAATGATTCTTCTGCACCCCCAAGGACAATGACTGAAATGTTCCCACCTCCCTCTTTGCTCAGCACATGGGACACACTTCTCTTGGAAACTGAGACTGGCCCTTTAGTGAGAAAAACAAGTCACTCTTTTGAAAATACGATTCTTTTTCATCGTGTTCTATGGCACCTGCAAACATTTCAGAACATCTCCTGCACTGCTTACTGTCTGGAGCACTTTGTAAGTTTATCACTTCTGCACAAGCAAATCATGGTACTGTATTCTTTTACTAAGACTAACATTTGGCTGGTGACAGAACCACCACAGTTCTAAGGTTCTGGGTTATCAAATGCTAGATCCACTGTTTGTTAGGGCACATTGTGCTTTGTTCAACTCAACGGAACTCCATTCCTATCGCTTTCCATGTGACAAGAGTTGTTCAGTGTGCAACCGCATGTCTGTATGTGGTGTCCTTGGTTATTTCCTGGTGCATCTTTCCTCAGAACTGAGAAGCTAAGAGATTACTGTGACTATTATGAAAACTTAATGGCCTGTTTTCAGATATTCTCTACAGATTCATCTTTTCCAAACCTGGATTCATACTACATATGCTTCACATAGTCCAGACGTTTGACGGATACCCTACGTCACTTGCCAGCTCTCCACACGGTTCTGGAAAACATCTAATCTGACTTTGGTAAATTGTTCATTTAAGACTGCGGCAAACATGTTCAGTCTTCATGGTATGATTTCCCAGTAAAAGTAACTTTTTCTGATTACAAATTTAAGGAGCATTTAATGGAAAATACACACACACAAAAAAGATGAAAACATAAACGACTCATGAGCTACATTTCAGAAATCCTAAAACCTGGCCTACTGCCATAGAGATGATCCAAGTCACAGCGACCCTAGATAGTTTCCCATGCTGCAAAGCGTTACCAGAGCAGAAAGCCTCATCTTTCTGCCAAGGAGTGGCTGGTGGGTTTGAACTGCTGATCTTGCAGTGCTTATCTTATAGCACTGCCAGGGTTCCTTACTTTCAGTGACAGTTGCTGTTTAATGTCTACTTGTGTATCCTTTAGTTCTTGATTCTGTCAGTCATACCAGACTGTGTTAGACAAACTGTTATAAAAGACATAAAACACCTTAGCTCTTAGAGAAAATTACATGTTCATTTTTTGTGGGTTTCTATTACTAGGGGAATTGTAAAGTGATGGTAGGGTTCTGAACCGCTTTCTTATGGGAAGAGGCAGAAAGTCGTGTGTCAGAACATAGAGAATCTTGGCCAAGCCAGCTTTGAACTTGCATTGACTTCCAAGCATGCCATCAACTCTTCCACATGTGAGCAGAGGGAGAGTTGGAGGCTTCTCTTCCACAGGAAAAGAGAACCTCGAATCGCCCTTAAATCTGTAGTTTCCCATAGTTCCTTCATTGTTTCTCATCTTCTAACCTCGTTCACACCCATGGATTCAACCATGGCGTCTGTGTTCTGAGTTCTCCTAAATCCATCTGCTAGGAGACTTTCCTCCTGAGGTCCACATCTCCAACTGTCCAATGGACATCCTTACTTGGATGTCCCAAATTCCCTATTTCCAAACTCAATTCACTAAGTTCTCCTTCAGTGTTGTGTTGGTCATCTTCCAACATAACCTATCAAGGTGACCTGGCGGGCTCATCACCTATTCAGTCACCCAGTCAGAAATGCAGACTCTTCCCAGATGACTTCCTCTGTCTTAGCCATGATGGATGGCATCAATGAACTCACTCACTCATTCAAAAACATTTACTGAGCATCTGTTAACAGGCTAAGCAGTATGCTAGATACTGAGAAACTGATAATAAGATACAGTTGATGCCTTCATGCATCTGAATTAATCACTAGCTCTTACAGATCTGTCCATCAACTTTCTTTTCATACTGATCCTTTCTTTCAGGTTCTTACTGTTCACGGCTCTGTTTTAGTTTCGCTCTTATCATCCCTCCCACAGACTTGGCCATGGGTCTCCTCTACCATCACAGACTTCTGCCTGTGTTTCTGAGCTAAAGCACAATCCAACCAGACTCCTCCTTTGTTAAAAAGCACCCAGAAGTTTCCCCTTGCTTACCTGGAGGATAGCATCAATATTCTTTCCCGTAATATTTCCTAGAAGGCTGTTGTGATGTTACCCCTGCTACCTGCCCAGCCTTAACGTGTACTCAAAATAGAACATATGCTTTGAAATGTGGAATCCACTCTGGCTGACATCTGGTGAGTATGTTGTTGTTGTTAAGTGTCGTCGAGTCTGTTCCGACCCATAGTGAGCCTCTATAGAGTTTCTGAGGAGCGGCTGGTGAACTTGAACTGCCGATCTTGTGGTTCAAATCAACATTGCAGTCCAGTGTGTTAATCCACAGTGCCACACCAGGACACATCAAAATCAATCAAGAAGAATGGGGATTTGAAAGTGGAATTTCCAAGGATTAATAGCTTGGTCGCATCAAGGAGCCCTGATAGCCTCATGGCTTACAAGCTGGGCTGCAATCCATAAGGTCAGCAGCTCAATTCTGCTAGTTGCTCCACAGTAGAAAGATGAGGCTTTCTGCTGCCGTAAAGATTTACAGCCTCAGAAACCCTAAACAGGGTCACTATGGGTCAGAACCAACTTAGTGGGCCACCACCAGCATCCTCTAATCAGTGAATAATCTGGGATTCCTGGTGTGGCACTGTAGGATCAGCACTGGACTGTGAACCACAATGTTGGCAGTACAAACCCACCAGCCGCTCCTTGGACACCCTATACAGGGTTGCTGTGAGTCAGAACTCACACAATGGCACTTGACGACAACAACAGAGCCATGACATCACCAACCGCCTGTCAGTGTGTCCTACTGTGGTGGCTTGCATGTTGCTGTCATGCTAGAAGCTATGGGAAATTTGAAATTAAAAAGCTAGAAGCAATTTTAAATACCAGCAAGGTCACCTATGGTGGACAGCTTTCAGCGGAGCTTCCAGACTAAGACAGACAAAGAAGAAGGAGAGGCAGACCAATTTTGAATTGTTTGTCACTGAAAACCTTATTAATAGCAGCAGAACATTATCAGACATAGTGCCAGAAGATAAGCCCCTCAGGTGGAAGGCACTCAAAATGCAACTGGGGAAGAGTTGCCCCCTCAAATTGGAGTTGACCATAATGACATGAATGCAGCAAAACTTTTGAGACCTTCATTTGTTGATGGGACACAACTCAAAAGGAACAGAAACAGCTGTAAACATCCATTAAAAATCGGAACATGGAATATACAGTGTATGAATCTAGGAAAATCACAAGTTGTAAAAAATAAAATGGAATGCATAAAGACCTATGGAGCCCTGGTGTGGCGCTGTGGGCTAATGCGCCAGGCTGCAAAGCCATTTGAACTGTAAGGTCGGCGGTTCAATCTTACCAGCTGCTCCTTGGAAACCCTATACAGGGTCGCTATGGGTCGGAATAGACTTGACGGCACTTAACAACTTAAGAACAACAAAAACCAGTATCTTAGGCATTAGGGACCTGTAATGGAGTGGCATTGGCCATCTGATGCTGACAATCATGTGGCTGTCAGGAGCATCAAATTGCAGTGGAAATAAAACATTTAAGAGAAAAAAAAATGCAGAGGAATGGCATCACATTCATCTCAAAATCAACATTTCAAAATCTATCTTGAAGTAAAATGCTGCCTGTGATAGATAGGATAATACACTACAAGAAAGACTAGTGATGTCTTGGTTAGTAATTCAAATTTATGCTCCAACCACTGAAGCCAGTGAAGATGAAACTGAAGAATTCTACCAACTTCTTCAGTGTGAAATCGATCAAACATACATTCAAGATGCACTGATAATTTCTAGTGATTAGAATATGAAAATTATGGTCAAAGAGGTAGAATCAGTAGTTGGGAAACGTGGCCTTGGTGATAGAAATGATGCTGGAGATCGCATGAGAGAATTTTATAAGACTAGTGACTTGTTCATTGAAAATACCTTTTTTTCAAACAACATAAAAAGTGACTGTACATGTGAAGCTCACCAGATGGAATACACAGGAATCAAACTGACTGCATCTATAAGAACAGAGGGTAGAGAAGCTTACCAAAACAAGACCTGAGGCCGACTCCGTAACCGACCATCAGTTGCTCATATGTAAGTTCAGGGCAAGTAGAAAAAAATTAAGCAAGTCCACAAGAACCAAAATAAGACTTTGAACATATCCCACCAGAATTTAGAGACCATCTCAAGAACAGATTTGATGCATTAGACACACCAATGACCAAACCCAGAAGAATTATGGGATGACTTTAAGAACATCATACAGGAATAAAGTAAAAGGTCATT